AATGCTCTCAATTTTCTACCTACTGCTGCAAAAACAGAGAGCCAGCAAATGGAAAGCAATTGACGGCACGTGTCACAGGTGTCAAATATCTGGCCCAATGGGTGTATTTTTATGTCTTTAAGGGCTTATCCAGATGGATTCTACACTATTTCTTCTTTTAAAATGTTCGCATCCCCCATAGTTGCAAAGAAGTGTCCAACTGTGAACTGATGCACTGTTGTCTTCCTGACTCTGCACTGTCTAACACCAATGACACAGAGGTGAGAACTCCCATGCACTCCCAATTAATGAGCATGAGATGTTCATTCTAAAAAGACAAATGCTGATACTTTACATGTCAGCATTAACTTTTCCATAGGTGAATAATTTGATAGATTGGTAGATGGAATGGGGAAGGGGGTGGGATTGAAGTACATGAAGTGGGAATTGGGAGTTGCCTTAGGAAAGGAAATGCAGAGGGGGGGAAAAAGGAGTAGCACAGAGTCAGAGGAGAGAAACAGAAAGGAGAATGAGGAAGGAAGGAAAGCAAAAGGCAGAAATGGCATTGGGCCTAAATGTAGCACATTCTTCCCCTGAGTGAAGTTGAATCCCTAGATAAAGTCAGACTGAAAATAAGACACATTTTTAACTATCAGGGTAACTAATCATTGGAAAAAATTACCAAGGGTCATGGTGGATTCTTCATCACTGACAATTTTGAAATCATGAGTGAATGTTTTTCAAAAAGATCTGCTCTAAGAGTTATTTTGCGGGATTTCTGTGGTCTGTGTTATGCAGGAGGTCAGAACAAATGATAACAATGGTCCCTTCTGGCCCTGAAATGTATTTGTGACAAGGTTCTGAACAAATAATAATGCTATTTTTTAAATAAACATGTAAAAATCATTTTCCATCATTGATCTTTCTGTGAACCTTTCCATAGACATTAGAGACTATGGATTGTGCATAGTTTGTAGCCAACCCAGAGAATATAATTAAACATCGAATTTAGCCCTTTTCTCAGAATGTTTCTACTCCTTGCATTTGCCATCTAGAGCATGAGATGTACGGAACCTAGAGCCAGCTCCTGCAAACCTTACTCACATCACTAATCCTTGCACACCAAATAGTTCCATTGAAAGCAAAGGCTTTGCTCATAGAATCATAGGACTCGAGGGGACCTTGAGAGGTCCTTTAGTCCAGTCCCCCACTCTCAAGGCAGGACTAAGGATTATCTAGATCATTCTTGACAGGTGTTTGTCCAACCTGCTCTTAAAAATGTTTTCAATCTTCCCCCATGGGTCATGTTTTCTACACCTTTAATTGTTTTTGTTATTCTTTTCTGGACTTTCTCCAATTTGTCCACCTTTGTCCTGAAATGTGGCACCCAGAACTAGACCAAATACACCAGTTGAGGCCTAATCAGTGTGGAGTAGAGCGGAAGAATTACTTCTCGGGTCCTGCATACAACACTCCTGCTAATACATCCAGAATGATGTTCCTTTTTTTTGCAACAGTGTTACACAGTTGATTCATATTTAGCTTGTGATCCACTATGGCCCCCAGATCCCTTTCTGCAATACTCCTTCCTAGGCAGTCATTTCCCATTTCATATGTGTGCAACTGATTGTTCCTTCTTAAGTGGAGTACTTTGCACTTGTTCTTATTGAATTTCCTCCTATTTACTTCCAACCATTTCTCCAGTTTGTCCAGATGATTTTGAATTCTAATCCTATCCTCCAAAGCACTTACAACCCTTCCCAGCTTGGTATTATCCTCAAAGTGTGCTCTCTATGACATTATCTAAATCATTGAAGAAGATATTGAACAGAACTGGACCTAGAACTGAGTCCTGAGGAACCCCACTTGATATGCCCTTCCAGGTTGACTGTGAACCACTGACAACTACTCTCTGAGAATGCTTTTCCAACCACTTATACACCCACCCTATAGTAGCTCCACCTAGATTGTATTTCCCTAGTTTGTTTATGAGAAGGTCATGTGAGACAGTATCAAAAGCCTTACTAAGATATACCACATCTACCACTCCCCCCACATCCATAAGGCTTGTTACCCTGTCAAAGAAAGCTATTAGGTTGGTTTGACATGATTGGTTCTTGACAATCCACGCTGACTGTTCCTTATCACCTTATTATCTTCTAGGTGTCTGCAAGCTGATTGGGTAATTATTTGCTCCATTTTTTTCTGGGTACTGAAATTTGTAGTAAGTGAGTAATGCCTACATACTGAAGCAAAGGCTGCAGCCAGGAAGAGGCCATTTAAAGATTTCTCTTAGCATTTTGTTTTTTCTCCATTTTTCAAATCATTTTGCCATTTTGCTCTATTTTTGAACAGGTTACAGAATTAAGAACACTGCAGGAAACTGAAAGCTGCAACAAAGCCATAGGTTACATGCAGAGTGAGCATCTGCAAACCAAATGCTACCCTGTCTACTAATCCCAACCCCAGGCTGGACAGATTTTATTGAAAGCATTAGAAATCATCCAGTCAGTGTGTTAACTCTTTTATAGGAGGGTGGGGGTAGGGATAGTGGCCAAACTGTTAGTCTAATCAGCTTCCACCAAATTCAACTTTTTATTTCTGAGCCTTGGGCAGATTCATGCCTACACGTGTTTGAGGAGAAATGTCTTTGTGCAATAAAAAGAGTTACATGAAGGGACAGAGTAAGAAATGAAAGTATGAGGATGGAAGTCAAAGTCTTTATTGTGGCTGACAAAATCCAAGAAATGTGACTTCTCTGGTTTGGACATATACAGAGGATGAATGAAGGAGACCTGCTGAAGATAGCATGGCAGGAGAAGGTGGTGAGAAAGAGACCCCCAAGAAAGTGATGGATGGATTGCATCAGAGAAAATGGATCTTAGTGCAGCCTTGGACAAACAAAGGTAATGGTGGGGTGCTTGCATGATGACCTGACCCCAGATGATGGAATAAGGGGAAGAAGCTTTGAGACTTGGGTTAGATTTTTCAATTAAGTAAAAATCCAGCTACTAACTCTTTTAAAAGGTTCTCTACCTTCTAACACACAGTGCTTCCTCAAAGAATAGTAATATTGATATTTGGAAGGCATCCTTCAAACATGAAACTTCTATTGACATCTATATTTTGTACTAAAACAGCACTATCCGTTTATGAATCTCAAAGCACTTTGCAAAACATTCATTAAGACTTACAATAGGAAAGCATTTTAGAGCACTTTTACAGCTGAAAAAATTAAGGTACTGAGAAAGGTTGTCACTTGTTTAAGGTCATAGAATAAGCCATTGGCATGGCTAGCACCAGAACCGAGGAATTCTGATTCCCAGTGCCCTCCTCTAATACCAAAGTGCAGTCTTTGGTGGATCATAGCATTTATCTTAAGGCAAGGACACATAATTAAGAACCTTTGTTGGTATTAATAACTATAACTTGAGTACTTGAAATATGGAATGCTTCAAATAATTTAATAATGGTCCATCTGAATCAAGCAGTCCCAGGTTTCCCTTTTGGAAAATTTAATAGATGGAATGAATATAAAGCTCATCTAGATTTCAATTTAGAGTTAGCCCTTGTGCTAGACCAGTGCTAAGAAAAGGCTGAAGGGATATTGACAGCAATATAATCTCTCTAAAGCTGTGATTGATCTAGTCTGCAGAGGGAGGGATGGCTGCAGTGCATACAGATGAAGCAGCAGTCTGTGGAAAGACTGCAGCAGGTACTCTGTATCTACCAGTGAAAGACTGTGAGGATGTTAAATACGTCTCATGTCCTTCAGCGTAAGAAGCCATGTACTGAAAGGAAGGATAAGATAATATGAGGATGAAGAGGACAGGCAAACATGTTGTCTGTGCATGCTCTGATTAATAAAAGAGTTTTAGAAGTCTTCACTCTGTTCTATCTGTCTAATGATGATGGGCAAGTCACCAGTTATTTTTTCCCTTCCTTCTGTGTGATTTTGACCAATTAAGATGGCTGATACACTCAAGTTGAAATAATATCCTTAAAAAATAAAAAACAGTTTCAAATATTTTGATTTCCCCCCTTATAATTAGAAATCACAAACTGTTTGACACGTGTAACTAAACTGTGACCAAGCAGTTAAAGACAGCAGTTTAATTAGCAGTCAATTTTGAATAATTTTCTTAGGTTTCTCATCAGTTTCTAAATAGGCTAATTCATGGTCTTAAATTGTTCAAAAAGACATTCAACCAACAGGGAAACAATATTTGCCTTACTAAACCCATTCAGTCCCTACTTGAAATTGTTCCATATCTACAAGAAGTGAGTTAATAGTATTCTCTATTTTACATCCTTATCTTTCCTACTAGAAGGAAAGGAAGCACTAAGATGTTTGTGTGCCTATACAGACTGTACAATTGTGTCACTACAAACCTTATCCCTCCATATTCAGTCCTCTTCCTACTGATTGGTTATCACCCTTTATTGCCTAGTCACATCTGAAATGTACAATGTAAACCCTGAATTTGGAAGTTGTGTGATTAAGTCCTTGAGCACTGATCTGAAAACTTACAAAGATGATGGTCCAGGCCTGCCATGTGCTGAGCACACTTTGATGGGAGCTCAGCGCCTCAAATGATTGGGCACTGGGAGTCCTACCCTGCCCTATTGAGATCCTAGAATATATTTAAAATGAAATTAAAAATGAGATGATTGAACTGTTACTTAATGCAGAACTAATATTTTCCCTTGTACCTGAGATATTATTTCCATTTTATAGATAGGGAAACGGAGGCACCGAGCAAAATGAGTGATTTCCCCCAAACCATACTACAAGTCACTGGCTAATTTGGGAATTGAACACACAAGTCCTGGATCCTAATTGTGAAACTACACTATTTTCCATGTGCCTTTTTTTCTTTTTTAAATTACTGGCCAATGGCACACTACTAGGTACCCATTTGTGAATACTCCAGTAATCTGCTCTGTGACTAATGACCTTAGATTGCTATTTTTAGGATAAACTGCTACGTCTTAGACTCATTTTCAGCTCTCAAATGGTTAAAAGCCAGCCCAGTTAGCAGGAATACATGCAATGCTCTGTATGTAATTTCTTTCAGGATATTGATCCTGACCGAGAACATACTGATGCACATTATGACGCAAATTCAGCCATAAGAGGCTGTGTGAAGCCGGGAGCTCCTGGTGGGTGGCATCCTTTTTCCACACTGATATCCTATAACATTTCCTCTTTTACTGTACAGTGGGGTTTGTTACTTGAGACAGGAAGCAGTCTGTGGTAATGACAGGTGGAAGCTCTGTAAACATATACAGCGGCAATCAGGCAGTGGAAAATTTCCTCTGCATTCTGTTTTGCTCTTCACCCCATTTTGGAGGCAAGGCTCTTTTATTTATTTTTTTGCTTATGTCCTTTTGCAGAGTGTAGAATTTACAGAAATTCTTCCTGGCCTCTTCTACTCTTGCGTATGTACACTGACATCTCTCCTCATCTTGTGTCCTTTATGTATATGTGGCCCTCTTTCCCACTCAACCCTGTTTATGGTTCACATCTCATCTTTTTTTCCTGTAATGTCCTGTTCCATCCTTAACACAGGACTGTAGTTTTTGGCACAGTTTTTTTGTGGTTGATTTTGTTTGTTACTCAAAAGATCAAAGCGGCAAGCTGATCAAGAAGTGGTAGAAATACTGCTAGTACAAAGGGGCTATTATTTGGACTGTCAAGTATTCTCATTGGGCTTCTCTCGCCCCATTGTACTCAGTTGCTCATTTCTTTCTCATGTGCTTTTCTGACATCAGCAGTAATCAGTAAAGTGTGGTTAAGGTTTGCATTGATCTAAAACAAAAAAGTTCCAAGTGCCAGCTTTAAATTATATAATTTATTTCCTTCAAACCTGGCTTGCTTTGTAGATTAAAATTCAAGCAAATTCAAACAAACCCTGAATATTGCATGCAAGACTGCACAAAACACATGTGGTAGCATACGTCATACATAGGGCACCCACTGCACAGAACCCCAATAGTGCGTTGAGGAGCTACAATATTCCACCAGCACAGAACAGAGGGCAGGAGCCAGGCCAAATTTAATTAACTAATTTACCAACAGTTGATAATAATATAAATTAAGACCACGTTTCAAGGCAGAAGCACAAGGGACAGAGTAGAAGGTGACCTTTTCTCCTTAAATCTGCAGTTTCTAATTTCTGAACACTTGATGATAATAATAAGACAAATATAAAGGTGCTCTTACACAGCACTTTTTTTCATCTGTTGATCTCAAAGTGCTTTACAAAGGATGATCATTACCCCATTTTACAGGTGGGGAAACTGAGGCACAGCAGTGAAGTGACTTCCCAAGACCACTTAGCAGGCCAGTGGCAGAACCAGTAATAGAATACAAGTCTCCTGGGTCCCAGTCTAATACAATCCAATTAACAGATGACCAAAACTAGCTTGAAGGAAGATCACTATGAGCTGTAACTTCCTCTGTCAACTTCAAATTATGAAAAGCTTCTGCTTGTGTAGGCACACCGAGAACATAATGTATCCTGTAAGGGTTGGGGAAAATGAGTTTAAGGCACGTGTAAGTAAATATCCTGCAATTCATTTTGCAGCTGAGTCTGCATTTAACTAGAGCTGCAGTATATAATCAACAATAAGAGAAAGGAGTCACGTAATACATATGTCATCCAACTCTAGTTGCTGCTTTAGATTCTATTGTGTGCATAACAAACAACAACTGTCCTTCCCCTTTGATATTCTTCCAAAGCTGTATTTTTCCTTCAGGGTAGTGTAGCTGCTAGCTATATACTCATATACCCCACAACATGAAAGAGCCTCAATCATTAATGATCTTACCCTCCACACAATATACTTGGTGACATATCTCACCCCCATTTCATATATTGAGAACTGAGGCATGGATTGAGGCACAGATTTTTTAGGTATTTAGGCACTGCTGCACTCAGTCTGTTAGTTTCAACACTAAGTGCCTAAATCTCACTTTCAAAAAGGAATAGGCTCTAAGGAACCTATATCTCATCACTTGTTGGGTGGCAAGGGCCTCTTGTGAATTACAGAGCACCTTCAACACACATTGGCTTTAGGAGGAGTCAAAAGAAGCCTGTACCTCACAGAGGGCATGAAGAATCTTGGGGGATATGGTCCTTAGTGAAGAAGGTATACTGCACTGTTATGAAGACTGAAAATGATAGATGGTTCTTTTCATAGCTTAGATGGATGCTGCCTCTGACAATTGCAGAGGCCAGAAGGTTATGTATTAGCAAAGTCATAAAAGTATAGTTGTCATAACAACCAGGGACTCAGCTCACTCAGTAAAGAAGACAGAGTAGATAATCTAATGAATTTTCCCGGATGCTTCAAGCCTTTAAGAAGGACTTGATCAAAAGTCAAGTAAAAATGAGTCAATGCAACAAAAGAGCCAGGGAATGGATTTTCTGATGTGGGAGGCATGGGATAAAAATAAAATATGGTGAGAAATGAAGGCTGAATTCTGAAGATGTTACTCAGACAAATCTCCTGTTGACGTCAGAGCTCAGGGAAGTTCTTTAGATTAGAGAGAGAAATTTGAGAAGAGTTTGAGTGAAGTCACTTTTTTATGAAAGAACAGAAGAGAAGGAAAAGTACCAACCAAGGCCTGCTACAAGGGCAAGAGGTACCAAAAATGGCTCGGTCCTTCATCCGTTCAAACCAATGATAGTTTTGCCCATAGGAATGGGCCTCAAATGTAATACTCATTGATTCCAAGGCCAGAAGGGACCACTCTGATCATCTAGTCTGACCTCTACACAAGTCATAGAAATTCTCCAAAATAGTTCCTTAGCATATTTTCTAGAAAAAAAAATCCAATATTGATTTTAAAATTGTTAGTGATGGAGAATGCAGCATGAACCTTGGTAAATTCTGTGAT